ACTACAGAAAAGTTTGAATTGGAAAATTACATAATTATTTACATACACTTAATGATTCAGAAATAAATATTTTTTCACACTAAGAAATACTGTACCTGGAGACTTTCTCTGACTTAAAGGCTAGATTCTGAGCAGGGTGGGCCAAGGAAAAGCAAGTGTTTACCTCTGCCCTTTTTGTCTTCTTGGAAACGTTGCTTAGGAATAAAAGTGGATGAAAAAGTAGAAGAAAATATCAAAAAAGTTAAGGGTAAAGTCTGTAATCAGATTTGAGTTGGAGGAGAAAAGTTTTGTATCTCTGAGAAACCAGAACATTTTTCCTTAGCAAATACTATAGAAGTGATTCAGTGATTGCAGAAGCTGCCGCAAAGACAATGAAATTCTGTACTCTGTGTGAGCAAAGGAAGAACAGTATGACAAACGCATCTATATTCCAAGGATCCCTAGTCTTGATTTGATATTTATTGTCGCTAAGTTTGATATATTTGTAGCTTTATCTTCTGCATAAGAAAACTCAAGAATTTTGTGGAAAAAAAGCTTAGTGAATCAACCAATGCAATAAGCGTCAATATATTGATAAAAACAACTTAATGTTCAATTTCCAACGGTGCTAAATCTCTCTGAGACCTTTTAAGCTGCTCTGAGATTAAATGACTAATTAATTGTATTGAAGGAAATTTGGGAAAAATATATGTAATGTATATGAGCTCAGATTGCATGGCAGGTAAATCAGTCCACACACATCTGTTCCTTCTATTCAAAAACAACACAAAACAAAAAACAAACTTCATCATCTCACTTGTTTAAAAACTGTATAATTAACACCTAGTCAAGAAAAGGAAGAGGATTGACACATATAATAGAAAAAAAAACCCACCCCAAACACAAGTCCATCAAAAGCATTCAATTTGACTTTTTCATTCACTCATTCACTCATTTTGGTTAATGAAGGCTTTACCTTAATATATGCACATGCACGTGTGTGCGCGTGCATGCGTGTGTGTGTGTGTCTGTCTGATGTTTTGACATAGTACTCTATTAAAGGTCTACACCTGCACTTTTATCAAGTGCAGTATCCTCTAGACATATATGGCTTCTGAACATTTGAAATGTAGCTAGACTAAATAGAGATAAATGTAAAATACATATCAGACTTTAGAAAAAGTAATAAGAAATAATATAGTATTTTTCATCAATGTTTTATATGGATTACATGATAAGTGATAATATTTTGGATATATTCAGTTAAATACATTACCAAATTTAGTTAAATCTTTTCTTTACACCTTTTTAAATGTAGCTACTAGAAAATGTAAATTATTGAAATTTAAATGCCAAACACACTTATGGCTAACACTACATTGCTATTGATCTGGAACACAACGAAAAATTGTTGTGTAAGGATGTTGTTGTTGTAAGGATGCATATAACATGCTATGGTATTTTCTTCTGTTTTTGAATATATAACTCTAAAATTTTTATGTTTGTGCAAAATTAAAAGAGCATTTGAATTTTTTTTATTGTTTATTTATTTGTGTGTATGTGTGGGGCAGAGGGCGGGGAGAGAAAGAAAGAGACAGAGTGCGAGCTGTGTAGGAACAGAGAGAGAGGGAGACATAGAATCTGAAGGAGCTCCAGGCTCTGACCTGTCAGCACAGTGCCCCACAGGGGCACAGATCATGAACCACAGATCATGACCTCAGCTGAAGTCGGACGCTTCAGCAACTGATCCACCCAGGCACCCCTTGCTAGCATATTTACAAGATTTAAGTTTAAACTTATCAGTAACCATTAAGAGATGCTTACAACAGATTTTAATAATTTGCTTTTATACATTTTGTGATTTTAATTTCAAAGTCTTTGGTATATTCTACTCAATATCCATTTTGAAAGCTTCCACCTGGGACTGAAGAATTATTTTTTATTTATTTTTTTGCATTGAGGTATAATTGACATTTTATTTAATTTTTTTAAAACAAAATTTATTGTCAAACTGACTTCCATACAACACCCAGTGCTCATCCCAACAGGTGCCCTCATCAAAGCCCCTCACTCACTTTCCTTTCTCCCCCAACCCCCATCAACCCTCAGTTTATTTTTTGTATTCAAGAGTCACTTATGGCTTGCCTCCCTCCTTCTCTGTTTAAAACTATTTTTTCCCCCTTCCCTTTCCCCATGGTCTTCTGTTAAGATTCTCAAGATCTTCATATGTGGTTTATATATACAATGGAATACTACTTGGCAATGAGAAAGAATAAAATCCTGCCATTTGCAGCAACACGGATGGAACTAGAGGTATTATGCTAAGTGAAAGAAATCAGTCAGAGAAAGACAGATATCATATGTTTTCACTCATATAATTGACATTTTAAAATATAAATATGGGCATGTTTGGGTGGCTCAGTTGGTTAACTGTCTGACTTAATTAAGCTCAGGTCATGATCTCACAGTCTGTGAGTTTGAGCCCCATATCAGGCTCTGTGCTCAGAGCCAGGACTCTGCTTTGGACTGTGTCTCCCTCTCTCTCTGCCCCATCCCCACTTGCCTTCTCCCTCTCTCTCTCTCTCTCTCACAAAAACATATAAACATTAATTTTTTAAAAAAATATAAATATGGATGCCAAATTGTCACTTCATATTTGCTAATACCTAATTTTTAGAAAAGAGCATAGTGTGTGTGCAACACAAATCTTCTCAAAAAATTCCAGAAATATGCAGACTCTCCAGCCAGACACTCCTGTTCTGGACCCAGACAGGGCTTACCCTGCACAGTTAGCCCTCTTAAACAACCCTCCTCAAAGGCCAAAGCAGAGAGGAACAGGGAGAAATCAACTTTGTGCCAGCAACAGCTGAAAAGCAGGTAGCACTGGGACAGCCATATCTATGTAGTTCTCCAAAACTTAGCTTATAGTTTATCTGGGAGAGGAGTGGACACATAAGCACAAAGAGTCTGGGAGTTGTGCTCATTCAGCAGTCTTAGCAAGAAGAAAATTTTTGGAGTGAAGAAGTGTATTCCTACTATCAACACATAAAACGGAAAAAATATAACTTTTTCCTTAATTAATAACTATCATTTATATATCTTTACAGATCTCATAACTTATCTCTTAACTGTGCTATTATATAGTCCTCACACTCTTTGATTTCAGTAATTTTATTTCATCTAGAAGATAAGAAATAGAGTCTCTGAGAATTTAAACCTCTTGCCCAATATTACCTAGCCAGAAAGTGGAAGATATTTTCACCACATTCTGCTCCTCTGTCTATTGTATCTTCACTGAAATTAAACATAATTTCTCAAAAATTCTACAACCAGCTGGGTCCAAACTTGTGAATGAAATGTATCAGGACAGTGATTACAATTTTTAACAACAAAATGAAGAAAAACACATCATTTTTCTCTTTTGGTTCTGAGTTATAGTTGTGAAGAAAAGTTCCAAAACCCTTTGAACATTTGTTCTATATCTAGAATTGGTACAAAATCAACTGAAAAATTACTTTTAAAATGATACTACTTACAGGTGCCTTGGTGGCTCAGTTGGTTGAGTGTCTGACTTTGGCTCGGGTCATGATCTCACGATTCACATTTGAGCCCTACATCCGACTTTGTGCTGATGACAGGCATGGAGACTGCATGGATTCTCTGTCTCTCTTTCTCTGCTTCTCACCCACTTGTGCTTTTTCTCTCTCAAAACTAAATCATTATTAAAAATTTTTAAGTAGAAAAATAAAATGGTATTACTCATGTTAATACAAAAATCTAGTTTTTATTTAAAATTAAAAATCTTAACATTTTTGATACTTATAGTCAAATTTCATATTTTTATTATTATTTTTTACATTGTTCTGCATATGGGTAATTATGACTATGACTTCATAGATGAAATTGAATACCTGCAGAGCAAAACCAAATATTTTACAATACATTTATTTTTATTTAAGAATAACAAAATAGATAATTTAAAGTTAAATAAATCTGCAGTTTCTTTTGATCTATTGATGTTTTAGAAAGCTGTTACAAAATTACCTTATAATCTTTGAAGTTTAATTCAAAATTTTCCTTTCTGTTTTTTCCTCAAAAGTTTGATTAAAGAAGTTATATTTACAATACATACATTTTTTTATTGCTTTCTATTTGTTATGCTATTTTGCTTCTGCTGGTGCTGAAGCAACAGCAGTATTATTTTAATTTGTCCATATAAGTTAAAAAATGCTGCATATTATTTGCACAATCTGTAGGGACTTAGGTTGTTTTCACTCACGCAAATCAGGAAAATCCTTTATCAATTTCAATTTTTGCATGATTAGGAACTACAGAACCATTCCTATTAATATCACTGTACAGTTAAGTCATAGACCAGTAGGATATTTAGTTTTTTTTACATGAATATAAAAATTTACATTTCTAAAACCTTTGTTATAGTAGGAAAACTACTCAGCACTTATTTCATTTCATACCATTATTAATGTATAATTTAATGATGGAAGATTCCTAATGCATTTGTTGATAAATAGGAGACTAGCTTTTCTCTATAGGATTACTGTGTTTTATCTTTTCTTCATTAAATTGTCAAGGCTCCTCTCCTCAATCACAAGTACATCCTATAAAATAATATACAACAATGATTGGTGATAGAAAAGTACAGTGGAGAACATTTCAATTTTTGAACTTCCTGGTTTTGGGTTATAGTTAATTATTCTACAATTGATGTGCATGCAGGGATGTCATTGATCTCCATCTCCCAAATGCCTCATTTGCTGTCTGATATTAGGCTAGGCATTCAGGGTGGTATGTTAGCTCTCTCAGACCAAAGGAACACTATTGAGTGAATTATAATAGAGCCGTTAATATTTGAGTTTTCTTTATTCAGGTCATTTATGGCAAGCTTCAGAGATGATGTCATGACCTTGTATTATTGGACAATTATTCTGTCAATGTATGCCCTAGCCAGACTTGTGACATCACAGAATTACAAAGCAGAATGAGAGCTTCTATTTAAATAGCTTCATTTTAGGGAGGCATAAATTATAGTCCAGAATGATTAAAGATTTTGTGATATCATAAAGGTAACGATATATCTGGAGATAAAGAGAAATGTGACCTGACCTTTAATACATTATTTTTGGAGAACCCAAGGTTCTTCCACGTACTGGCTGTGTGATATTTGGCAAGATATATAGCCTATCAGACCTCAATTTCATCACTTACTACTTATTGATAATGTCTACTTCATAGGTTTGTGTGAAAAAAAATAACAGGTAGATAGTAATTGTTAAATTTCCTTCTTTTATTTTTATTTTTATTGTTTCAGAGAAACCCACCATCAGATCTTGAAAATTACTCCTTAAGCATGGTCTATTGGAAATATTACCTTTATGATTGCAGGTAAGCAGATTTTGTTAAAAGTATTTCTTTTAATCAAAGAGTTAAACTACTTTAAAACAGTTCATTGTTGTCAGGAGTTCAGTGGAGAGAGGGGCAGAAAGGATTTGAGGAAGCTTGCATTTCAACCTCACTGCATTAGAAATAAACTACAGCTAGAAATATCTCAGCTTGTATATTTCTTTGAGTGAATGACTTTTTGTAAGTTTTTCTTTTTTTCCATTGTATTCCCATGAACAGGAATGAAAGTGAGTGCTGATTCACTTGTCCTCTACAGAGCTCCCTTTGCTCTTCTCTTTTAATCCTGCAAGCATAGGATCCTGGGATCCTCTTATTATACTTTTCTCCTACAGAGAAAAAACTTAGTCCTGTATATGATATTGGTGAGATAGTTGAAAATGTCAAAATTCAATCATTTGGTTGCTGACTTGGATTGCTGTTTAAGAATTTAAGAAATACAATGTAATGGTTGAAATTACTTATTTGAAATGGAACTTTAAATCTTTTGATTACTTTTAAATTAAAATACTTAAATATCAAACCATCTTCATTACTTTTGTTGCCTAATTCTAGAGAAGAAATTTCAGAGGTGATATTTATTTATAAAACATCAGACAAAAATGGTTACTGTCACTCTAGACTGTGGGTTTTTGAGACAAATATTTGGGTTGAAGTAGGATAGCATTAGGAAGAGCACTACCTTAGATGAGTGTGCCAGCAGAATTTTTCAAAAAGAAACAAAGGAGTGATAACATGTTTTAAAGATATAGGTTAAACCTTTTCAAAAAAATATTTGACATAAAAGAGGTTGGTATAATGGCTAGTATGAAATACACACTGTTATGTTTTAGAAAATAATTATAGAAAAACTTTATTTGGATTATAAATTCATTAGTGATAGGTGTGTTTTGAAATTTGAGTAATAAAACCATATTAGGATAGCATTAAAACATTAATTTTGATCCCCAATGGATTATTTATACAACAGCATCATAATTACTTAATGACAACTCTTATATTTATATCTTTTATGAGTTATATAGTAATTGATGGATAGCTAAATATTATACCATCTTCAAACCGACCCTCTGAAGTAAGATATAACAATTATCCTTATTTTATAGATGAGATAACTGAGGTTCAGAAAGATTACATTTCCCAAAGTTACCCAAGCCAGAATTTGAACCCAGCTTTTGTAGTTCCAAGTCTTTTGATTTCATATCACACCCTTTTACAATAAATAAGAAACACTGTGATAATATGAAAGTGAAATGAGAGTTAAAATCTGGATTTTGGTCCTGACTATATCATTAACTCACTGTTGAACTAGCATTTGAACTTTTGAGTCTACACAGAGACAACTAAAACCTAAAGATTTTAATTTGCCCACGTCCACTGTTTGGGATTGAAAAGACTGTACTCACCTGGTGATAGTAAGAGTGAACAATAACTACAAATTAAAGAACATAAAATGATTATTTGAAGCAAATGAGTTACATTAGCAAAATTTTTAAGGAAATGTAGCTGAGCAGCTAAAAAGAGTGATTCATTGGACTTAAAAAAAAAAATCACACTCCTTGTTATATACAGAGGACCAAAACAATTATCTTCCTGGTCTTATTTCTTCCATCACATTTTCTCCAGGAAATGGATTAATCACCCTTTTTGACTCACATTTCTTTAAAAAATTTTTAATGAGCATTTATTTATTTTGAGAGAGAGATAGAGAGTGAGCACGGGAGGGGCAGAAAGAGAGGGAGACAGAGAATCCCAAGCAGGCTTCACACCATCAGCATGGATGATTTTTTTTTTTTTTTTTTCTTGTGTCTGGGGGCAGGGGAGGAGGCAGGACTCTGCTGGAGGTGGGGTGTGTGAGCCCACTGAGGGTGGGAATTTAAAGATTCCCGTGAGGTGGGCGGAAACGAGGGTTGGGGTGAGGGATTTGAGCTCCCACCGAACACCCCTTGGAGTAAGGGAGGGAGCCCTGAGGCCCTCCCCTCTCCCCCCATCTTGGTTTATCTGTTTATAAAGCTAGAAGTGTAGAGGTAGTAGTCGTTTTTGGGTTGGAGTCCGTGTGAGGTAATCTTGTTTCCTCTTTGGCAAAAGCCACAGCAGCCGTGGCGGCAGTGGCGGCGTTGGTGACGGTGATGGGTGGGCCCCCTGGGGGTGGGGCCGCCTTGCGCCTGTGGGCCGAGGAGCGCAGGTGGGAGGCCAGGGCTTGGTGCCCACTCAGCAGCACCTTACATGCCAGGCAACGGTAGGTGCAGATGGGCACCCGCAGTGGGGGGGGGGCACAGAACCCCCAGAATTCCAACTCACGAATTGTGAGATCATGACCTGAGCCGAAATCAAGGCTGGGACACACAACCGACTGAAATACAATTTCATCAGTATTCCATTGATAGCCTTTTTGAGATTTGGTACATATTAGGTTCTAGAAAGTAAAACCTCTCCAATTTTTGAGTAAGATTTTCATCAGCTTTTCCTGGCTAATAGCCAAGTATTTAATCAAGATAGCCTATATAAGTCTGAAAGCTATTTGCTAAAAGACAAACTACACTAGAAAGAAAAAGAACAATTGACCATATTGTGAAGCTCAGCTAAAATGAAGTTGACACCAGGTTTGCAATTTTCTCTCTAGTCAAATGTAACCAAAGACAATTCTGAAACTTAGCTAAAATAAAATTACTTATAATCGAAGGAAACTTGAGTGAATCTGTCCGACTTGATAATCAGTTTTCCAAATCAGAGTTGTATATATGAAAGGTTCACCAAATTAGAAAGCAGCCATTGTTGAAGTGTGACAACTCTGTTTTCATAAATCCTGAAACCTATTGAAGTTACATCCTCTGCTCTGAAAGATTACAAATCTTTCTTAAGAAGAATTTTGAAGCAGTTTTTAACTTGTATTACACAGACATGAAATTTTTACTACAAACACATCCATTGACTAAATACAGACAAATCTTTTATTTAACTCCTTCATTAAACCAGAGAATTTTATTTTTAAAGTTATTTTTGAGTGATAGAGGGATAGAGCAGGAGAGGGGCAGAGAGAGAAGGAGAGAGAGAGGATCACCATCAGGCTTCGCACTGTCACCACAAAGCCCAATCCAGGGCTTGGATTTATGAACCCTGAAATCATGACCTGAGCCGAAACCAAGAGTCTGACACTTAACCAACTGAGCCACCCAGGTGCCCCCAGATCAGATAAGTTTAAACATCATTGTTTATTTTTTATTCTATGTGCTATAAGGATTGGTTATGTTATATATCATAAGCAGATTTCTTCTCTGATTTTGCTATCTTGCTATCTTCACATTAGAATAATTTTAATTTTACATTTTGAAGATTTTTAAACATGCATTAAAATTTCCAGTGAAGAGTCCATTGTTTTTATTTGTCTTTTTTTTTTTTTTTAAATAACAGAGGTGAATTTATAACGGCCTAAAAGCAAAGTGAAGGCTGACCAGAACATATACAGTATTCTGACAAATTTAGTGATGTCAACATGTTTTTTATTAATGTTTACTTATTTGTGTATTTTGAGAGATAGAGCGTGTGTGCATGAGCGGGGGAGGGGCAGAGCGGGAGGGAGAGAGAGAAAGAATCCCAAGCAGGCTCCATGCTGCCAGCACAGAGCATGACATGGGTCTTGAACCCACAAACTGTGAAATCATGACCAAATCAAGTCCAGCACTTAACCAACTGAGTCACCCAGGCACCTCAACATTTATTTTGCATCTGAATTATTTCATCATGAATGTACTCTGACAAGCACAAATGTCTATTTCTTAATAAACAAACAGGGCTGTTCTCTTAAAATAAAAAACAATCATGTCACCAAAGCTTCTGTGGAGACAAATAGCTTTATTTATCTTCTTTAGATAATTAATCTGTGAATATATTATATAATTTCATCAACAACAATGAAGACCCCCCTTTATTCATATATTTAAATATTTTAATGCTTATTTATTTTTGAGAGATAGAGTGTGAGTGGGGAAGGGACATAGAGAGAGTGAAACACAGAATTCAAAGCAGGCTGTGGAATCTGAGCTGTCAGCATACAGCCCCACTTGGAGCCCAAACACACGAATTGTGAGGTCATGATCTGAGCTGAAGTTGGGTGCTTAACCGGAAAGAGCCACCCAGGAATCCATTCCCTTTATATTTTATTGCCAGAGATGTTCTTTTACTGCATATTTCTTCTCGTTGTAATGAAAATTATGTCTAAAAGACAGATTTGCTTTTTAATAATCTTTTTGCTAATATTTTAAATGCATTTTTTACATTTTATTCATTCTTCTTCCTTCACATATTTAGTGCTTAATTTCTTTTGTAATTGGAATTTGTTCTTAAATATTACTTGATGTGTGTTAGAATTACAAATTTCACTTCTATTATGCTGCCATATGCTCTTACACTTATATTCGTTGACTTACTTTTTTCTCCTTTTTTTGGTCTGACTTTGAATAATTATTTATTTTCTATGAAATTTGTTGACTCACAATTTACACTTTGTAATACTTAAAAGCCTCAAAGTCAAATTGCACTCCAAGTACATTTCTGAAAGTCTCATAAATGTAAATATAAATTCAAAGTTGAGAAATATAACTAAGACTTGAAATATTTTTTACATGGCACTCACTTTCACTTACAAATAATGAAAGTCTGGTCTCCTCATAAAACTTTCCCAGGTTACATCCTAAGAATCTTGAATCTTTGCTCTTGAATTCCTATAGTATTTGTCTCCATATATATTTTTTCTATATTGTCTTTGTTTTACAAGTATTAATGTAACCTTGGATAAAATTACACAATCTTTGAAGATATGGTTAAGGCTATTTTTGGTATTTTCATTATTTGAAATGCATATCATCTTGTGATTATATTTTGAGGTATTTAGCACATTGATGAAATATTTAGGTAATTTATGCAAAATATGTCACTAATTTGACCTCTAAGGACCATGTTTGAGGCACCAAAGCAGAAGTAATTTA